TTACTACTGATACTACTACTACTACTACTACTACTACTACTACTGCTACTACTACTAATAATAATATTACTACTACTACTACTACTACTACTACTACTACTACTACTACTACTACTACGACGTCTACTACTACTACTACAACTACAACTACAACTACTACTACTACTACTACTACTAATAATAATAATAATAATAACAATAATACTAATACTGCTGCTACTGCTACTGCTACTGCTACTGCTACTGCTACTGGTACTGCTGCTGCTGCTCGTGCTCACAGAAGACCAAAACAAAGCATGCTCCATATAGTGAAAGACTCAGCCTGGGGAAAGACCTAATCAGATGCAATTGCGAGCGCAGCGAGGCAAGCAAGAAGAAGGGCGTGGACGAACAGAAGCACGGACTGGGGCGCATGTCCTGGCAAAGGCGGCGCCGTGCGAACCCTGCCACTGGGGCCTTCGATGAACCCCCTTTATGGCCACGATCATCGTGAGAGGGACGCATGCGGACCAGCCTCTGGTGGACCCCCCAATTGGGGCCACGATCCTCATGAGGGGTGTGCCGAAGTGGGCGATGGACGCATGCGGACCCTGCCGCTGAGGCCTTCAGTGGAGTTCCCTGAGGGGCAACGATCCTCGTGAGGGCTGTGCCAGAATGGGCGGGGGACGCATGTGGACCCTGGCACTTAGGCCTTCGAGGAGCTCCAGTGGAGCCAGAACTCGTGAGAGGTGTGCCGAAATAGGCGGGAGGGGCGCATGCGGACCCTTCCACTTAGGCCTGCGGCGGAGCTCCGTTTGGGGCCACGATCCTTGCGAGGGGTGTGCCAAAATCGGTTCGGGGACGCATGCGGACCCTTCCACTTGGGCCTGCGGTGTAGCTCCGTTTGGGGCAACGATCCTTGTGAGGGGTGTGCTAAAATCGGTTTGGGGACGCATGCGGACCCGGCCACTGAGGCCTTCGGTGGAGCTTCCCGTGGGGCGCTCTCGCACTGAGAGGAACTTGGGGGTTGACTTCGGGTCTGGGCGGAGGTTGGGTCGCACCACTAAGCGAGAGCGTTTGGCTGCTGCCGTCGTCCGCTCGAGGCGTTTAAAGATTTTGCAAATAGCTAAACGTCGCCGACTCATCGCTCGCATGGTCAAAGCCACCGTGGAAACCAGCGTTTCCTATGGCACCAGCGTCACTGGAACCAATGGGCAGGAGCTCCAGAGGCTTAGGCAGTTAGTAGGCAATCAGGGCCCCACCAGCTCCGCTTCCCTCACGCTCCGTCTCCTGCTCACCCCTGGAAGTCGGGTGGACCCTATTTTCAAGGCTTCCGCCGACCCGCTTTGTGCCATGCTGGCCGCGTGGAAGCAGCATTGGGTCCCCCAGCACATAATAACTCAAGGAATTCGGCAGGCCCAGCGGCGAGCTCAATCCAGCAAAGGCAGTCCGTGGCAAAATGTTGCGGGGCCCTTCACGGCCTACCTGGCCACGCTCGATCGGTTGGGAATTCTGGCCGACGGGTTTAGTTCTTGGACCTTCCCCTGGGGCCTCACTATACAGCCGGCCACCTTTTGCGTCCATGGGCTAAGGAAGCTCATCGACTTGGCCTGTGAGGCCTGGCAGTGGAAGCAAATTTGTACCACGCTTGACTGCCCCGAGATTAAGTCAGGCGTTTTGCTCGAACCAGTCCTCAGTCTGCTCGGTCGTTCTTCACCGCTGTCGCCTGATGAAAAGGCCTATCTTCGGTCAGTCGTCATCGGTGCTCAGTGGACGCAGCAGCGCTTGTTCGAGGCCAAATATGTTCAATCCCCGCTCTGCTGCATCTGTCATAGCTTCTCAGGCACCGTGTATCACCGTCATCTGCTTTGTGATGGGTTGGTCTCTGCTGGTTTGCAGCCCGCAGGCCCTCTCCGTCGCGTCCTGCCGCAGGAACCCACAGAGCTCGTGAGCTTGCTTGGCAGCCGTGTGCTTCTCCCGTTCGACAGGTTCCCGCAGCGGCCAGAGCCCGCGCCAGAGCAATTCTACCTGGGTGAGCGCAGTTTGCTCACTGGGGACTTATTTGTAGATGGTTCCATGTTCGATCACGACGTGCCCAATGCTGCCGTCGCAGGTTGGGCTGTCATTGCAATGCATCCTGACCCTCCTCCTCCAAGGGCTCTCGACGAGTTTCGTGTGTTGGTCGTCTACGGAGGCGGAGTCGAGGGCCCGATTCAGTGCATCGATCGTGCTGAGTTGGTAGCGGTTTTGAACACTCTCAGAGTTGCCATGCCGCCTGTCACCATCCACACTGACAGTGAATTTGTTTTCTCAGGCGTTGTAAAGCGTGGGCGTGAGGCATGTTGTGCTTTGCTCGCTGCCCATGCTGACGTCTGGGAGCTCCTCTGGACAAAGCTGGAGGACCGGGGTGGGGTGGGACCCGCTTCCGTCAGGTTTGTAAAGGTTAAGGCCCACCCCACCCCAGAGCAGCGCCGCTCTATCGACCCGCGTCTCCTCGCGGGCAACGGGTTTGCCGACCAGTGGGCGAAGAAGATAGCTGCTCTGGGGCGCCTGGATTTCGAGCGTCGTGATCGGTGTCGGAAGTTTTCGAGGCTTGTGCGTGCGGTGGGAGAGCAGGTAGGCAGGGCCGCTCCCCTCGCGGCCGCCGACACCGAGCGCCTCACGGCGTCCCAGATGAAGGCGGCCCGCGCCGCGCGGCGCCAGGCCAGCGAGCTGGCCGCCGCCGCCGCCGCCGCCACCGCCGCCCTTGCCCCACCTCCGAGCGCTCCCCCCCGTCGTGTCGTTCTCGCTGGGGGACACGCTCTACGAAGGTGGGTCAGCGAGGAGCGTGGCGACAATTCGGGCGGAGTGGTCTGTGTTAGGTGTGGGGCCGTCTGCACCACGCACGTTGTCAAGCTGGGCCAGGTCTGTGGACACCCCTCGGCCTGGGGCAAGAGGGTGCTCAGAGGCCTGGCCCAGGGACAGTTGCTGTTTCGGGGCCGCTGGATTTCGGTTCAGCTTGGGCCCCTGTCTCCAGAGAGCTCGGAGGTGAGCTGATCCCGAGCTGTGTACAGCGGTAGGGGGCAGGCTCACTGACCCCCCGTTGTTGTCAATCTGTGTCGCAGGAGCACGAGAGGACGCGGCGCGCTGCTCTTTCCAAAGGAGGACTCATTACCACAGGATGGTTGGGAAATCTAGCGCGGTGGATGCAACGAGCCTGTAGCGGCGGCGTCCCTGCCACTGGTGACGCGCCCCCAGGCGACTGCTGCTACTCTTCCTCCTCGTCTCCTCGTCATCTCCTCTTCGTCCTCCTCCTCCTCCTCCTCCTTCTCCTCCTCATCCTCCTCCTTCTTTTCATTCCCTTCTCCTCCTCCTCCTCCTCCTCCTCCTCCTCCTTCGCCTTCTCATCATCCTTCTGCTTCTCGTAGTCCTCATCTTCGTCAATCCGCCCTCCTCCCTCCCCCTGTCTTCAGATAGCAAGCATTTGAGACGTCCTATCGCCTCGCCCTTGTCCCCCACCGCCTCATCATCTTCATCCCCTCCTCCCCGACGCATCAATACGCCAGCACCTGACACCCCAGTCCACACGCCCGAGGAATCCCTCCCCTCATTCCAGGAGGCCCCGATGAGTCGCGTAAACTCTACCCGCCACCCCTGGCATGAGACCCTTCGAGTCCGTCTTAAGGGTATCATCGTTGTCACCATCGCATCATCGTCGTCGTCCCCATCACCCTCCTCCTCCTCCTCCTCCACCTCCTCCTACTCCTCCTCATCATCATGACCATCCTCATTGTCGTCGTCATCATCAGCAACATCATCGTCATCATCACCCTCATCATCACATTCATCATAATCAGCAACCTCAACGTCAACCCCAACCTAAAAATCAGCATTACCACCATCATCAGCATCACCATGATCATCTTCATCATCATCAGCATCAGCATCATCAGCATCATCAGCATATTCATCATCATCAGCATCATCATCATCAGCATCATCATCATCAGCATCAGCATCAGCATCATCATCATCATCAGCATCATCATCATCATCATAATCATCATCATCATCATCATCATCATCATCATCATCATCAGCATCATCAGCAGCAGCAGCAGCAGTAGCATCATCATCATCATCAGCATCATCATCATCATCATCATCATCAGCAGCAGCAGCATCATCATCATCATCATCATCAGCAGCATCATCACAATCACCATCACCATCTCCATCTCTATCTCCATCACCATGCCATCATCGTCATCATCATGGTCGTCCTGCTCCTCGTCCGGCCTTCCCCCGCCTCCTGCCTCCTCCCTCCTCCGCCCCCAGACATCCCCAGGCATCCAGCAAGGCGTCATCTTCAATGCGCGGGCCCCAGAGGCTGACCCACTCCCCGTGGTCAGCATTTCATCCCAGACTCCCGTCCCATCTCTGAATCGAGGAATGAAAAAACGCCCCTACCCTGGGTTACAAGTGCGTGGCCCGCAGAGAGCCGCCAGGACGCCGCGCGGCACGAGCGACACGCAGGGTTTTACCCTGTCAGCCCACAGGAGGTTCAGCGCACAGCGCCTCGTAAACCAGGGTAGGGGCGTTTGTTTACGCCCTTGACTGAAGACCTCGGGGCCCGAAGACGGCCCCCGGGCGGCCGCACCGAGGGAGAGAGCGGCGGTGCAACAATAACTGTTCGCGGGAGGGGGCTGGGCCTGCCCCGCCCTCCCGTCCTCCGCGCCCTCCCCTCGGAGGAGAAGCGGAGACCACCGCCGCCCAGCACCCGGGACGGGCGCGGCCAGGGCGGCGCCCGCCCCGAACCGCAATGCAATGCGCGTAGATCACCGCCGCCCACAACCCGTCGGGGGGCGGTGGCACGCCTGGGCGTCGTCGGGCACTGGGTGGTGGCGGTGGTGGCTTTAGTTTCTCCACGGAGTCCTCGAACCCCTCCCTCGGGATTCCCTTCCCCCCTCCCCCCCGCGGCAGCAGCCGGGGCCGAGGCGGCGGGAAAACGAGGGGGGAAGGGGCCGAGGCCGCGGTGGGGCCTTCCTCTGGCCGTCCTCGCGGAGGCGCGCCAGGTGGTCGCTCTTCCTCGCGGCCGCCTTCGCCTCGGCTCCACCGTCCCTCCGCCCGCGCTGGTCCTCGGACGAGAGGAGGAGGAGGAGGAGGAGGAGGAGGAGGAGGAGGAGGAGGAGGAGCAGCAGCAGCAGCAGCAGCAGCAGCAGCAGCAGGAGATGGAGGAGGAGGAGGAGGAGGAGGAAGAGGAGGAGGAGGAGGATCGGCGGTGGGCCTTGCCTCCTCTGGTTCTGCTTCCCTGGGCCCTGGTCTTACCTCTTCGCCTTGGCCACAGCCGTCCCAGAGCGCCCTGGGACACTCTCAAAACACAGTGGATCGAGTTGTCCACTGGAGCGAGGGTTCTCCGCTCACGCGAACCCATTTCAAGTCGCACAGATGTGGGATGGTCCTGGGCCAGCAGAAGCCGTTGCGCTCCATTACGTTCTCCAGATTCTCCTTTTGATTCTGGCCAGGTTGGAGAGACGCCGTCAGGGCCAAGGGCGGGGTGGCATGTCGAACCCCGGGCCCGGAAGGGTGGGAATCAGTGCTCGCTGGCAGCCCAACGGTTTGCGCCTGGTCTGGGCCGCGCTGCATATGGGGGGATCATTGGTGAAGTGTCGGCACCTGCGGCAGGCGTTTGCTGTCTCAGCTGGGGGTTTTCGGCACTCACAGATTTGGTAATTCAGACGACTAGTTGCGGCCCACGCCGTCGCCACCAAGACAGGCCACGTCGGACCAACCACAAGCTTTCTTTCATCCACCCGATCTGGTGGCCAGTCTGGTATGGATTGGTAGCGCGGGGTCCCCCAAAGCGGGCGGAAATTCGTTCCCATTCGATCAGGCCCATCAATCCTGTCCGCGTCTGCGTGCCGGCGGCAATCACTATTCATCCAAAGTCTAACTAAGAGAAGTTGGCAGAGCAATAAGCAGCACGAGGACCGAGGGGTAAGAGGCTCACCGTCGTGGCCGCCGTCGTGGCATCCGCGTTCGTCGACACCGTTGTCGTCGTCGTCGTCGGCGTCGTCGGCGTCGACGTCGTCGCCGTCACCGTGGTGGTGGTCGTGGTCGTGGTCGTGGGTGTGGTCGTGGTCGTGGTCGTGGTCGTGGTCGTCGTCGTGGTCGTGCTCGTCGTCGTCTCCGTGGTCGTGGTCGTGGTCGTTGTCCTGGCCGTGGTCGTGGTCGTCGTCGTCGTCGTGGTCGTGGTCGTGGTCGTGGTCGTGGTAGTGACCGTGGTCGTCGTCGTCGCCGTCATCGTCGACACCGTGGTCGTGGTCGTGGTCGTGGTAGTGGTCGTGGTCGTGGTCGTCGTCGTCACCGTGGTCGTAGTCGTGGTCGGTGTCGTGGCCGTGGTCGCGGTCATGGTAGTGACCGTGGTCGTGGTTGTGGTCGTCGTCGTCGTCGTGCTCGTCGTCGTCGTCGCCGTCGTCGTCGTCGACTTCGTCGCGGTCGTGTTCGTGGTCGTGGTCGTCGTCGTCGTCGTCGTGGTCGGCGCCGTCGTCAACGTGGTCGTGGTCGTGGTCGTGGTCGTGGCACTGGTCGCGATCGTGATCGTCGTCGTCGTGGTCGTAGTGGACGTGGTCGTGGTCGTGGCCGTGGTCGTGGTCGTGGTCGTCGTCGTCGTGGCCGTGGTCGTGGTTGTGGTCGTCGTCGCGGTCATCGTCTTCGTCGTTGTCGTCGTCGTCCGTCGTCGCCATCATCATCATCATTCGTCGTCGTAACCGTGGTCGTAGTCGTGGTCGTTGTCGTCGTCGTCCGCCGTCGCCATCATCATCATCATTCGTCGTCGTAACCGTGGTCGTAGTCGTGGTCGTGGTCGTGGTCGCCGTCGTGGTCGCGGTCGTCGTCGTCGTCGTCGTCATCGTCATCGCCGCCGTCGTGGTCGTCGGCGTCGTCGTCGTCGCCATCACCGTGGTCGTGGGTCGTGGTCGTGGTCATGGTCTCCGTCGCGGTCTTGGTCGTGGTCGTGGTCGTCGCCGCCGTCGTGGTCGTGGTCGTGGTCGTGGTCGTCACCGTGGTCGTGGTCGTGGTCGAGGCCATGGTCGTCGTCGTGGTCGTGAGCGTGGTTGTGGTCGTGGTCGTGGTCGTCGTCGTCGTCGCCGCCGTCGTCTTCGTCACCGTGGTCGCGGTCGCGGTCATGGTCGAAGTCGTGGTCGTGGTCGTGGTGTCGTGGTCGTTGTCGAGGTCGCCGCCGTCGTGTTCGTCGTCTTGGTCGTGGCCGTGGTCGTGGTCGTGGTCGTGGTCGTCGTCAGCGTGGTCGTGAACGTGGTCGTGATCGTGGTCGTCGTCGTCGTCGTCACCGTGGTCGTGGTCGTGGTCGTGGTCGTGGTCGTGGACGTGGTCGTGGTCGTCGTCGTCGTGGTCGTCGTCGTGGCAGCGACAGGCGGAGAGGATCGGCCAGCCGCCCCGGGGACTGGGGCCTGCGCCCCGCACTGGCCCTGTGCGCCGGCGCCCTCCTCCAGCTCGTGCAGCAGCGCCACCATCTCCGACGGCACCGTCAGCTGCAGGGCCCTGGCCTTGCACCGGGGGGCGCATGACGGGCAAGCGGCGCGACCACGTCAACCGCCGCTATCGCGCCACAGTGATTCCTGCTGGAGCGTGCGGCGCACCCAAGGCTGGAGCAGGAGGCGCGCCACGGCTCTCTGAGACTCGCCATCGCTCGCACGTCCATTCCCCGTGCATTTTTCGGTCTCGTGCGTTGATTCTTCGCGAGATGATCCAATCTGTTCCTCGATGGTCCTGCCGAGAAAAAATGCGCACGTCCGAGCGATGCCAAGGTGCGTCGATGCTGCGTCGAGCTGCGGGGAACTGGAGCTGAAGTCGGAGGACAGTCGAACGGACTCTTCAGGTAGGCCCTGGGAAGGCCCCCGAAGCGGGCGCGTGGCGGGCGGCTCTGGCAGGAGTACCGCGGCTCTCGCTTCTTCCCCCCCCGAGAGGCAGCTCGGCATTTAGGGAGGACATCTGTTCTATGCTGTCAATTCTTACGTGTTCTATGTATTTGTACATATTGGGGACATGTAGGGGAAACATCAGCAGCGCATGCCCGCTCCGAAAATTTGTTCATCCTGCTGGGTACACACCAGACTTCTCCGGACAAAGCGGTGAGAAGTCGCCTGGGAGAGGTTCTGCTCTTGAAATTGCGCGCGGGGAGGAAGTCAGAATGGAGTAGCAGGCCAGGAGTGAGTCCCCCCGTGTGGTATGACAGGGAGAGGGATCTTACTCTGAAATGGCGATGCACGACAAACATTGCCACAAGAGGAGGCTCCGGGAAGCTCTCCCGCCCGCCCAGGCCGCAGGGCGTCGAGCCAGGAGTCAACGGAGACCAGAGGCCCCTTAGATGGGGTCCGGGCAGCTGGGGCCGGATTGCAAGAAGGATTGCAAAAAGGATTGCAAAAAACGAAGGATGGGTTTTTTTTTGCAATCCTTTTTTGCAATCCTTCTTTTTTGCAATCGATCGCGCCGCAGCGCCGATGCATCGGCGATGCATCGGCGATGCATCGGCCACGCGGCGGCGCCGTCGGCGTGGAGAACATCGGGCTCCGCAGCGAGCCGCGTCGTCGATGCAGCGGCGACGGCGGGGCAGTGCTCCGGCCCCGTCCAGGGAGGCCTCTATATAGAGGGGGGGAGAGGGGGAGAGCCCGCTCGGCGTCGCCGCAGTCGTCGGGTGCCCAGGAGGCGCAGCTCTCGTGGCGGGTGGGTGGCCGTGGCGCGCCGCCGTGGGGAGCCCGGCAGAGTGTCACCGGGCAGGTCGGGCGTGTCCTCCCATACAGGCGGGCGTTGGAAGAGAAATGCATTTACAGAGAAGACAACGACGACGACGACGACGACGACGACGACGACGACGACGACGACGACGACGACGACGACGACAACAACAACAACAACAACAACAACAACAACGACAACGACAACGACAACAACGACAACGACAACGACAACAACAACGACAACAACAACAACAACAACAACAACAACAACAACAACGACAACGACAACAACAACGACAACAACAACAACAACAACAACGACAAAACATAAATAGTCAAGGGAGCACGAACAGAGAGCCGAAAATCAACCCCGATCATAACCACCCCGACACGCGAAGCCGTTTAGTAAACGCACCCAAAGAAGGAATCAAACAGGGCAGGGCTGTTTAGTAAACGCCAAAGGCCGTCTAGTAAGCGCCGATTGTCTGGTCCGGGTGGTTTTTCCCCCCAAGAACGAAATCTGGTCACCAAACTATTTGTCCTACTCTTCTTGACTATTCTTCCTGTAGGGAATAAGATGAATCAGGCCTTCGGGCAGAAACGAGAAAGCAACTTCGAGGCGGCCCAGGGATGTGAATTGGCAGGAGCCCAAGAAATCTGTCGGGAGAACGGGTAAGGCCAAGTCTTCTCAAAATCGGTGGCCGGACCCCACCCGGGGTCCATCTGGTGCAGGTTGTCGCCCTGGGTCCGTTTTTGACGGTCCGGGACCCGACAATGGCCCCCAGAGGCAGAAAAAGCCCCCCAAAAAAACCTTCCCGAACCCAGCGTCTCGAACCTACCAGTGCTGAGCCACCTCAGACCCCCAGAACTCGAAGTCTCAGTGTCCCGCCGCCGTGGGGAACCCATCAGCACGTCACCGCCAAAGAAACATCAGGCCTTCGGGCAAACACGAAGGGGCAACACGATGACGAGCTGCCAGCGGCGGCGTGTCGGCGACGCTGCAAAGCGCAGCTCGGCTGTGCGGAGCGCCCCACGCTGCCATCGAGGGGGGGGAGGAGGGGTCGAAAAGGCACCACTGTGGGCCATGGCGATTCCGCTCGCAGTCGTCGTCGGCCTCGGCCTCGGCCTCGTCGTCGTCGTTGTCGTCGTCGTCGTCGTCGTCGTCGGCGGCGGCGGCGGCAAGGCCGGGGGCGTCGGCGTCGGCGTCGACGTCGGCGTAGACGTCGGCGTAGGCGTCGTCTGTCGTCGTCGGCCTCGGCCTCCTCGTCGTCGTCGTCGCCGTCGTCGTCGTCGTCGTCGTCGGCGGCGGCGGCGGCGGCAAGGCCGGGGGCGTCGGCGTCGGCGTCGACGTCGGCGTAGACGTCGGCGTAGGCGTCGTCTGTCGTCGTCGGCCTCGGCCTCCTCGTCGTCGTCGTCGTCGTCGCCGTCGTCGTCGTCGTCGTCGTAGGCGGCGGCGGCGGCGGCGGCAAGGCCGGGGGCGTCGGCGTCGGCGCCGACGTCGGCGTAGACGTCGGCGTAGGCGTCGTCTGTCGTCGTCGGCCTCGGCCTCCTCGTCGTCGTCGTCGTCGCCGTCGTCGTCGTCGTCGTCGTCCGTCCGTCGTCGTCGTCGTCGTCCGTCCGTCGCACCCGGCCAGGGCCCTGCGAAGGCCACGACGGGCGTTGTTGCCCAGCCTTGGGCCCCAGGGTCCCCTTCTGCTCCGGTCTCGGGCCCCAGGACCCCCCCCCTGTGTCGATCCGTCTCCACCGAAGAGCGGAAACAAAAACGAATGCGTGAACTGAGCGCGACTTGTCACGGCGCCCCGACGTTTCACCAGTGTCGTAAGTCTCCGGAGGACCCTGGATGCCTCTGGAGGGCTCCTGGAAACATGCCAAACCAGGGAGTCTCAGGGAGGGGATGGAGGAAAAACAAGGAGGATGAGGAGGAGGAGGAAAAGAAGAAGAAGAACAACAACAAGGAGGAGTAGGAGGAGGCCAAACGTCATGGAACAATTCAGATTACAATCGAATGCGCGTCGACGGCGCTCAAGCCAAGCCCGTGGAATAGCGGAATGGGGGCCGGCCAGAGCGAGCGTGTAGGAGCAGAGAAAGCAGAAAAGCTCTCAGCCAGCACACACACACACACGTACAAGTACGAACCAATAAGCAGCAATAAGTCAAAGGCCTAGCAAGAAGGGGGCGAGGTGGGATGGCTGGGCACTTTTTTTGCCGACTCCCGAGCCGAGCCATGGGTACGCTGGCGTCGATTCCTGGAAGCCGAGGCCCTCCCTGGAAGGCCCCGCACATCCACACCTGCAGACGTGAGCTTCCCCACACAGCACGCCCTCGCCAACCACCCCCCAGCCGCTGCCTGGTCGCACAGCGGCAGCCACCGCCGCAACCGTCAACGCCAGCGTCGTCGCCGCCAACGCTGCCCCAGCTCCCCGACATCGCGCTTTTGCTCACAGCGTGGACCTCCAAGAAGTTCCCGACCTTCTCCCTGGGGCCAGCCTTTCATCTCGAGCCGCGTCTTGACGGCCCCGAGGCTGGGGCAGGGGCCCTCGGAAGCCGGAAATGGCCCAGAAAGCTTCTGGCCGAGCCATGTGCACGACGCGAGGAAGGGTCCCGAGGGACCCCTCCGTCGTCGTCGTTCGCAGCCGCCGCACCAGGCATCCGATGATGCGGCTCTTTCAACGCGCGGCCCCGAAGGTCCCGACCCCTTCACTGGGGGCAAATGTTCGCAACGGATTCTAATCTTCCGTGGCCCCAGGGCCAGAGAACGGGCCCCAGAGGCCGAAATCGAGGAAAAACAAGGAAACAAAACTGAACTGGGGAAGAAAGGCATCGTCGGAGAGCTGAGACCGCCGTCGTCGTCGCCGGTCCCTGGAGGCCTCCTGAATTGGGTCCGACCCCACACACTCGGACCCCATCTGGGCGGCATGGAGTTACGGCGACGAAATCGATACAGATGCACTGCTCCCTGGCCAGGCCCATCCTGAACCCAGCAGCGGTGTATACGCCACGCCCTCCTGGCTCGGCAAGGAGGGCGTATACACGGCTCCCTGGTTCAGGATGGGACTGGCCAGGGAGCAGTGGATGTGTGTAGATTTCGTCGCCCGATGGAGTCCCCCCGGGGGGGTCCGTGCCTGGTCGCACAACTGCAGCAGCCTGGCGGAGTCGAGCCGCGCGGCGGCCGCGTCCAGCTCGCCCCGCAGCCAGTCCTGAGGCGCCAGCGGCCATCAGAGGCCTCCCAGATGGGGTCCAAGTAGATGGGGTCGGAGGATCGCGCCGCATCGCCGATGCATCGCCGATACATCGCCGATACATCGACGCACCGGCAATGCACTGGCGACGTCGGCGATGCATCGAAGACGTCGGCGCGGAGAAAATCGGGCCCCACATCGAGCCGCATCGCCGATACCTCGGCGATGCGGCGAGGTCCTGCGACCCCATCTGCTCGGACCCTACCTGGGAGGCCCAGAGCCGTGCCTCCCTCGCCTCTCGGACCTCTGGCGGGCCGAGTTTTCAACCGCGGCGGTGTTCCTTCGTGCTGTCTTGACCCTTCCTGAGATCCTGGCGTCGCAACTTGTTCACACCTTGCGAGTTCGCCCTACGTCGGGCCCCAGAACCCTCGCGGATCGATCTGGCTCGAAAAATGTAACAGAAAGACGGGACAGAGGGCTCCAGTCGCGATTTTGTAGGATGTTGCATTTTTCGAAACGTCGGATCTCAGGGTCCATATCGGACCTCAGGCGGACTGAGTTTTCAACCGCGGCGTTTTCTCTTGTATTTTGCATTTCTGGAGCCCCTGAAAAGAAAGGCGATGCTGACTTGTCCTGTCCCTCCTCCCTTCTCGCTCCTCCCTTCCTCCCCCGCCCTCCCTCCTGCTCGCTCGAGCAGTGCACTGGCACCTGTCTATTTAGAGGCCTCCTACATGGGGTCGGAGTAGATGCGGTCGGAGGATCCCACCGCATCGCCGATACATCGGCGATGCAAAGACCACCATCTGACTGTGATGCGACACTACGGAGGACAGTGACATCCCAGCATCGCGCAAAAGCCACGACGGGCCTCCTTGCCCCGTTTGGGACCCAGGGGCCCTCACCCTCAGACTTCCGACGGCTCTGTGTTTTCGAGCCGCAAGCCCATGAAGGACTCGACCCCTTCCCTGTGACTGGCTTTACATCACGAGTCGGTCATTGACTGCCCCTGGGCCCAGAAGCGGCATCTGAGCACCGAAAACATCGTCACAGAATCCAGCGCCGTTTTCTTCAGTCGCCCTGGGCCCGCACAACGACAGGGTCGGGAGCTGCGGCAGCAACTCCTTACGTCTCTGCGATTGCTGCCACGACGTCGCGCGTCGGGAACCAAGTAGAGCCGACCAAAGCGAAGCGACGAACACGAGGGCAAGCATCCGACTCGGGAAACCTTGCATCCAAATGTGTCGACGGCTCACCCTTACTTCCGCCGGCTTCCGCCGTCGGGCCCGACGCCAATTTTTGTCTTCCGCCGGCGTCCAAGGGCCTTGCGCGGGAGTCCGCCGACGACGAGAAAGTGCGGAAAGCGAGGCCCCTGTCTGGAGCGCGCTACGTGAGGAGCACCAGCTCTGCTGCGAGGCAGGGATTTCTCAACGACCACCGCCTGGCAGTACAATGTTCGGAGATCTCGACAGGCGGTGGATATGGATAGGTTCGGCGCCCCCAGGGCCCGAGTGCCCATATCCAACGCCCGCCGAGGTCCCCGAAGATCGATCCCCCAGGCGGTGGTTACGGATAGATCCTCGCCTCGGACATGTCGCCTCTATCGCCCTGGGGTGACGCTCGGTCGAATTCGGGGCCCATGGGTGGCTCCGCCCGGGATCGTCGAGGGAGCACGGTCCTGGTGCTGCTTCTGCAGCGTCAGGGCGGCCATGCGCTCCTCAGGGCGGCAGTGCTGCCTCCTCCCCCTCCTCCTCCTCCTCCTCCTCCTCCTCCTCCTCCTCCTCCTCCTCCCTCCTCCTCCTCCTCCTCCCTCCTCCTCCTCCTCCTCCTCCTCCTCCTCCTCCTCCTCCTCCTCCTCCTCCTCCTCTCCTCCTCCTCCTCCTCCTCCTCCTCCTCTCCTCCTCCTCCTCCCTCCTCCTCCTCCTCCTCCTCCTCCTCCTCCTCCTCCTCCTCCTCCTCCTCCTTCCTCCCGCTGCTGCTCAAGGCGAACGGATCCAAAGGACGCAGCCCTTTCATGCCCGGCCGCGGTGGGCGTGGCAGCGTTGAAAATGGGCGCCACCAACCGAAACGGGGGGCTTCCCCTAGAGGCGAGGGAGAACGCGGAGCGGGGACGACACGGGAGGACAAGGCAAGGAGGAGGAGAAGGGAGGACGGGCGGGGAAAGAGGCACGACGAGGAGGGGGGAGGGGGGAAGGTCCCCCTTCAATCTAATGAACCCCCTAGCCCCCTACCGATAGCGGCGGGAGCTCGACTCCTGGGGAGCGCCGTGGCTCCGATCCGAAGATCCCTCCGTGGCGGCACACGTGGAGGCAGGGGGCACTGGAGGGGTCACTGGGGAGCCGGGACCTGGAGGGGTCACTGGAGGGGTCACTGGAGGGGGCACTGGAGGGGTCACTGGAGTGCCGCGCGAAACGGAAGGTGTCCTCCTCGCCCCCAATCCGATCACCCACACCCCCCGTCCTCCGCAAGAGCGCCTCCTTCCCAGTCCCAGTCTGGTATCTACGGGTCCGCTGGACAGCCCGCCCCGCCTCGGGCGGCGCGCGGGGGGGGCCGGCACACGGGCGCCCGCGCCAGCAGGCGCTGTCAGACCAGAAGGGAGGGGGAGGAGGAGAACGATGAACGGCAAGGTGGATGAGAAGGGAAGTTGAAAGAGGGACCGCCGGGGTCAACAACCTGGATCGGCAAGTACATGCCGGCAGGAACAGGTGCCTCGCGTGTGTGGAGACGGCGAAGAGGCAGGCGTCGCCGCCGCTCGTCGCTTCATGTGGCCCTGGCGCTAACGAGTCGGCACGCGACCTCGTGCCCGACGCGGCTGAAGGGATCATGGGGGGGTAAGTCGGGCGAGCGCGCAGTGAGACACATCAGACGGCAGCGCCGATCATCGGCGGGCCGTTTGCCGTGTGAAAGATCCGTCCGTGCGGTTGAATTGCTGTGCACGTTGGCCACGCGACGCACCACTCCCCGTAGGGGCAGCAAGGGTGTATATGTTGTGTTGGTATTGCGCGCACAGCTTGAGGTGGGGAGGGAAAGAAGATCGAAGGGAAGGAGGAAGAGCAAGGATGGGTGGCTGCACGAGAAGTGGTGTCAAGAGCCGCCGATGCACCTGCTACACTCGCGCTAGTCCGAGATTTGGCGGTTCACCCCAAGAACCTCCCGCTTTCCACAGAACACTGCAGCCGATAGGGAACTCACTGCTTGGTCCCCACAGCGTGCTTTTTGTTGCGTTCTTCTCGGGTTCAGCACGCAAACCCCCAGAAGCTGAGGTATAGGGCACTGGCGAGTAGCGGGGGGGGGTAAAGGAGGCGAATGCGCGTGGGGCGTAACAGCAGACGATGGGGTACCACAGTGGTGAACACGAGTGGACAGAGGGAGAGCACTCCCCCTAAGAGTAGAATGATTCTGGCGGTGGCGCTGTCGCCGCACGCTGCACGCGTTCCCTCCCTGCCAACGCCTTGCCCCCAGCCCGCCATCCCGCCATGCCCACAGGAGATGGGAGGAGAAGGATGAGAGGGGAAAAGGAAGGGAGGGGAAGGTTGGGGGAGGTGTCAGCTCACGACTGCTTCGCAGCCTTGTCGAAGCCGTCTCGCAGGTTGGCCCATGCAAGGCGGGCCCCCACCGCCGCCTCCGCGGTGTTCTGGAGGTTGAAGGTGTCGTTGGAGCCGCCGGTCGGGTCGGCCCCTTTTCGGGGGGCAAATCCCGCCGCCTTCTCGGCGCGCTGATGCCCGAGGGCGTCGTCGGAGCCGTTGGGCAGGTCCGCCACCTCTGCGCTCCTGTCGCAGCCGTGGTAGTTGGCGGCGCGCCGCGGTCGCGCCAGCAAGGCTGCCAGGCTCGGCAGCCAGGGGCGCCTCGCCTCTGTGCTTCCCTGGCAGTCGAGGGTGTCGTTGGAGCCGTCCCTCTGGTCGGCCCGTTTGGGGGGGGGGGCGTCCCCGCCGCCTCCCCGGCGCTCTGGTGGCTGTAGGTGTCGCTGGCGCCGCGGAGCGCGTCGCTGTCGGTTCGGTCGCAGCCGGTGGCCCTTTCGATGTCCATGGGTTCGCTGGCCTGGTGGCTGGAGCGGTCGCCAGCCATGTCTTTGGCCCAACGTCATAACATCCTGGCGGTCTCGGAGGCGTGCACGACTTCTCGTTTGACGGTGGTGCGGGGCCTCCATCGGCGCCGCACCGAGGAGGAGCCCAGGTTGCTACGCAAACTCCCCCAGCAGCAGGGTTGTCGCAGGAACGCGCACTGGCGCCTGCGACACGGGAGGCCGAGGTCGCTCTGCACCCTCCCCGCTGATTGGCCCTGACGTTGGGCCGCCGCCAAAACATCCCCTCTAGGGCTGCAGCTGCCGTGGCGCCTGTGACGCTGTCTGTGGCCATGCCTTTGAAGTAGGGCCCGCGGTGGAGGCGCCGATGCTCGTGATGACAGGCGGGAGGAACAGCAGGCTTGGCTCGAAGGCAGGCGCGCATTCCCGAAGAACCGACGCAGCCGTAGCTGGTGGCGCCTGTGGCGGTTCGGTGTCCGACTTGTCGACTGGCATGACAATGTACTTGGGGGCCATGTTGGCGTTGCTTGCGGTGGCAGCCGCGAGAGGCGGTCCACGTCGCTGGACCGCGGCAGCTGCCCCTCCCTAGCTGCACACGCCAGCCGCCTCGCAGCGCTGCGAAGCGGTCTCGGCTGTCGCCAGCCGGTAAGAATCTCGCTCATGTCGACGGTCTGGCCGACGCCCACGAAGGATGGCAGGAGGGGCGGGAACAAAGAATATGGCAAGATGTAAAGAGTGCGGGAATAGAGAGAGACGTGCCGAGCAATCGCGGGTTCGGTAACCGCGCCGGGCGCGGCCACGGCGCCGACCTGTTCGGCAAGGGGGGGGGCGGCCCGGGCCAAGACGCCTCTCCTCCCCCTCCTCCTCCTCTACTCCTCCTCCTCCTCCTCCCTCCTCCTCCTCCTCCTCCTCCTCCTCCTCCTCCTCCTCCTCCTCCCTCCTCCTCCTCCTCCTCCTCCTCCTCCTCCTCCTCCTCTCCTCCTCCTCCTCCTCCTCCTCCTCCTCCTCCTCTCCTCCTCCTCCTCCTCCTCCTCCTCCTCCTCCTCCGCCTCCTCCTCTCCTCCTCCTCCGCCTACTCCTCCTCCTCCTCCTCGTCCTCCTCCTCCTCCTCGTGCGAACAAGCTGCCAAGCATTGCCCTCGATGGGGGAGCAAAACCAGCATCAATGACACGCCATCGTTGGGAACCCATCGGCGAGTTGACTTGAAGAAGGACGAGGCCTTCGGACAGGAATGAAGGAGTAACAGGCTGACGGCCTCCAAGCGGCGGCTTGTCATTGGTACGACTCGTCCCTTCCAAAACTCGGTCCACGAGGATCGAAGGGAGAGACTTTCGGACGTTGTTGGCCCTTGTCTGGCCTCCGGAGGTCTCTGGGACCTTGCAAGGGCCTCCTGGGATCTTCGTGGGGCAAGGATCCGCGCCGAGCAAAACGTACCAATTCGAGCTACTGGCCAGAAGGAACGCCAAATCAGACACAACGGAGCCCGTCTTGGGGCCCGCGAAAGCGCCCCGGTGCGAAGCGGAGCGCCAGAGGAGCAGCGGTGGAGGGGCCCGAGGAACCGCCAGCCCCCTTCCGGACCCGAGCTGCTCCTCACTTCGGCGCCTTCGCTGCACGGCCGCCGCCCCAAAAAAGGAGCTGAGGGCGAGCTCGCCAGCGCGCCCGACCGGGGGGCGGGCACGGAGCGGAGGGCCACGGCCACGGGGAGAGGCAGGCAGGCCGCCTGCGAAGGTGCGGCTGCTGCCCGAGGGGGGGCCTTGGAGCCTGCGGCCAACCAGGCGGCGCGACCCGAGGCAGAACTCGGAGGAGGAGGGCGACGAGGACGAGGGCGAGGAGAAGGAGGAGCTATGGGGCTATGGCGAGGAGGCGGCGCCCAGGTGCTAGCCTGGCCGCCTACACCACATCACCGAGGGAAGGCCATGCCCGACTTTGGCGGGAGCCCCCTCTCCAACCTGCTGAGAGTCTCCAACCCCTTCTGGGTCGGGGGCTCGCAGTTCTTCTTCAAATTCCGTGCGTTCACCACGGCAAAACTTCCACATGCGGTGCAAAACAGCACCCCATTCAGCTCGGATACGGGATGGGTCTCGTGGCACTGGATGGCCAGCGGGTGCCCAGCGGGACCGCACGGCTCGGCCCCAGGACCCGCCGCGGCAGGACCCTCGACCTGACGAGCCACGCGGAAGCGGGCGAACCGCCCATCACTACAAGGCCCAGGCCAAAACGCCGACAGCGGACACTTCAACGAGAAACGCTGCTCGCAAATACTACACCGAAAGAGGGTCCGTCTGGGGACGGGAAAGTGGCCCTGCTCCATCAACCGTTCCAGACGGATCTGCGCGCTCGTAGCACCCACACGCGCGCGCACGTGCTCATGTCCAACACGCGCGTGCCGAGTACGTTCGCGCGGGCACTGAACCACAACTTCACGCTGAATGGCAAGGAGACCCAACTTATCCTGCTCTAAAGTGATGGCCGCTAGCTCAGGGGGAACAGCTGCTCTCGCAGCCATCTCACCAGCACAGGCGTCTGCGGCCCCGTTCAGGAGCCGTTCGATCGACGTTAAACGCAGAGAGCTGACCTGGGGGCCCGTGGGGTGACTCTTTGTCCATCTGAGGTCAATCTCTCCATCACCCCTAACGTCAAGGACAGCCCACAGACGAACCCACAGGTCAAGCATGTCGGACTTAGCCAACCACTGCCGCTGACGCCGAAAGGCACGAACCACAGGCAAATAATCACAGAACACCAAGATACGTCCAACCGTATACATACAGAGATAGATCCAGAGGGAGGAGGAGGAGGAGGAGAAGGAGGAGAAGGCGGAGGAGGAGGAGGAGGAGGAGGAGGAGGAGGTGCAGGAGGAGGAGGAGGAGGAGGAGGAGGAGGAGGAGGAAGAAGAGGGGGGCGCCAGCGGGGCCAGCAGAACTGCAGGCGTGTGCTGCCGTGGCCGATCTGCCCTGTCCGCACCGAAGGAGCAGGGAGCGGCACAAGCATGAAGCTTCGGAGGTCCACGCGGACTTGTTTCGGATCGACGCTGGACCCCTCTGGCGGCGCCTCCGACGCCGCCCCTGGCGGGCTCGGCGCGCCAGGGAGGGGTCCCGGCGCCGATCCAAGAAATGATCGAGATCCTCCGAAAAGTACATGACGATGCCAATGTTCCATGGAAGCACGCCGAAGGAGCAAAACCAACCCATACAAGTTCCTGCTCCGTCACCACATAGGAAGTGGCAGGAGAACTCTGTACCCCGAGTCCTTCGAGGTATGTCGCTGGCCAAAACGTCGCAGGAAAAGGCGTCGCGAGTCACGCCAAGATACGATGGGGAGTCAGCGGGCGGGAGCGGCAGCTAAGGAAACTCTAGCTTCACGTTGATTCAGTGGGGGCAGCACTACATGATGTAAGGGAAAGCGAATGCGCGCTAGTTGCTAGCTCCGTACCATGCAACTGCCGACGCCGACAGCAAGGTGTCCTGAGTATCGGTCGACGGACCGAAACCAAACGCAACGCACGAATGCGCGACATGACCGAGCGAGGGGGGACCGAAGGGGTCAACATCCCCCAGCAATCAAGGCAAGGCAAGGCAAGGCAAGGCGCGCCTGAGTCCGCCAGGGGGCGGGGCCTGGGAGGCCGGCGCGGGCGGGCCGGGGCCCGCAGTCGCAGGTGTGGAACTTGTGGTCTGTGCCGCGCGTGGCGTAGGAATGCTTGTTCCAGGTTGCTCCATTGAGTGCTCTTTGTGCGGGTGTAAACCAGTGTCCACTGCCAGGTTGAAGAAGAATGTTTACTCTCAGAAATTGCGCGATTTCGTCTTCCCACCGCTTCCTCTGACCCCCATGTCTGCGGACTGCTTGCCGGTGGTCGTGGATGTCCAGTTCCCACGTCGCAGCAAGACGGGCCCATCTGTTGTACGGTTGATTTGCGGCTCGCCCTGCCCACCGCCATGTTCGTCGAAAGTACACCGTCGTCCACTCATCTACGCGTGCTCTTTTTGCAAGATCTGCTGCTGTGTGCGTAGCTCTGCGCGTAAATTCTCCCCATGGTTCGAGGTCGGAGCCGTCGTCGCCACCATCGGTTTGCAATTCGTCGTCGTCATTGTCGTCTAAGCTCGTCTTGGCTTCGCTTCCATCGTCTACGTGCGTTTCTGCGTCGGTGCTGCCAGCGCTGTCGATGGTGGTGCCATTGTGAACTATTCGACGTCGCGGGGTTTGTACGATAAGTCGCAACATCCGTCGTTGAGTGCGTGTCAGCGTTTGAAGAATGTCCTTGGTCATCGTCCAGGATACGCAGCCGTACATGACTACATGACAGTAGGCGCCACTGTTTCGTTGAAAAGGCGAAGTCTGCTGTGTAGTGGGTATCCTTTGTTTGTGAGCTCGTCACGGAACTGGTTCAACCTGCGCCATCTGCTGGAGAGGCCTACTGCTAGGTGTAGGCAGCCAATGTCGATGGCGACGATGACAAAAACAATGACAACCACACCCCTCTCCTGCCAGCCCCCACCCACCTTGGAAGCGGCTGGGGAGTCTGCGCTGGATGGGCTCCGAGAAATTCTGCCAAAATGCGGGGAAGGAAAGCAAATCCGCTCAAATTCCGTGCTCGAAACCCTTCCGTGGTCGAAAATGAAATGTTGTTCGAACCGCGTCAGCTGTGACGACGAGGAGCCCTTTATCCCAAGTCTGCTGGCCAGAACCAGTAGTGGACCAGCTCAGCCCCCCCAGCCAGCTCCAAACCACACCCCTCTTCTGCCACCCCCACCTACCCACACCCCCACCCTACCTATCCAACCAACCCAGCCCACCACTGCTTCTTGTTGATAAGCAGCCCCTTCTCAACTCGAGTGGCCGCCGGCCAAAGACGATGCGGAACCCGCCCGCGCCACA